TGACAGCATCTCGGACAGATTTAACAGTTCTTTATGTTTATTATTAATATACCTTATTATTTAAACAAAATTATTTTTCAAATTTAAATTAAGAAAAAAAAATGAAACCAAAAATCAAAGAAAAATTATTCCATAATAAACCTAACTATCCTGATAAATTATTTTGTAATATATGTGATTCAAGTTTTGTCGGATATTCTTCCAACACAAATTTAAGAAAACATTTTACCAAATATCACAAAAAAGAACTTGACGAATTTGATATTAATGATATTTCATCCGAACTTACGAGACTTGAAGAATCAGTATTAACTTTTGATGAAGAAGTTAATGATGTTAATCCTATTTCAAATATTATTCGTAAAAATAATAATTTTAAAGGATTGATGGAGGGGTTTGAAGGACAAGGTGAAATTGATATTGTCAATGGTAAAATAAAATTTAAGGGAAAATTTAATTATAATAAATAATGTATTTATATGTAAATTTATCAATTATGTCATAACTTATTATTTTTTAAATTAGGTTATAATTATCTTAAATTTATTTTTCATATAAAAGTTTAATAAATACATATAATTATTGCATCTTATAAACTTTAAAAAAAAAATGATTACAAAATTTTACTTATTTATCTAATAAATCATATAATATTTAATTCATATCAAAATTATGCTTGTTATTTTCTTAATCAATCTTTTAATAACTATATAAGTAAAATTATTTTATTTATCATATAAAAATTCGTTATTAATAACTACCACCATAATGATTAAGTTCATATGAAAAATTTTTGTATTTCTGTTGTTTCGGACAATCTTTAGCAAAATGCTTAATGGATCTTCCATAAGAAGAACATGAAAAACATTTTGGAATTGTGTTTTCATAAAAATTATCTTCTTGCATATTTGGTTTAGTATTATCTGGCCAAATCATTTGCTTTTTACATATATGTTCTAACAACTTTTTTTCTCCCTCATGACATTTTTTACAAGTAGAATACCATTTCAATTTTTGACCTCCACAAAAACAAATATCATATTTCATGATATCATGTTTTATACAGAATTTACAAATCGTAAATACAGAACTTTTTTTACGTCCACAAGAACAGAAATTATCTGACCAATTTGACATTTTATTTCTCTACGCTTTATTTTTTAATGTAAATTTTCATGTTTTTATAATGAAATCAATTATTAATCAATAAATAATTTATAATTTCATATAATAAAACTAATATTTATTTCTCTTATCATAATTAATAATTTAAAAATATATAAATAACATAATTTTAACCTTATCATATAATATCAAAATATTAAAATTTCGAAACTATTCCTTATGTCGATTCCCAAAAATTACAAAATATAAATTATATTCTATTCATCCAAATTATAAATTAAGCTAAAAAAATAAGATTGTAACAAACCAAATAAGAATAATTTATGACTGCTAACTCCAGAGTTACAGTCTTAATTTCAG